GGGGCCGCGGCGGGGCGGAGCGGGGGCACGGGCGGGGCGAATGCTCCGAATGCATGCTTATGCTGATTATCCTGAGAGATGGTAAAGAAAACATAGCAAGCGCGGTGACCCTCCTGCCTGACTTCCCCTTTGTCCCTCTGAGTGCAGGCTCCGGGGGAAAGCGCCTGCAGGATGAGCAGAGCGCGGCGGGGCCCCGCCTGCACCCCAGCACGCTCAGCCTGCTTAGGCAGAGTCTGACCCCGCAAGGCTTGGAGGGACCTCCGCCTCTGGGGCTACTAAACCTGCGCGCTCGCCTGGTAACTGAGGGGACAGAGAACGTCTGAGCTTGTATCTGGTAGCCCAGTCAGAATCCAAGCGTGGGTCTGCACGAGGAGACTGAATCGGCTTTGCTGACTCATAGTAACTGTAGTGCTAGGGCAAACTTGGTAAGAACCCTTATTCTGGAGTAAAAGCACCCCCGGAGAGCCCTTCTGCTACAGCTTCCAGTCTGTGCTGTGTCATGCTCCCGAATCTCTTGGTCGTGTGGCTCCAGCCTGAAACATTGCTGGGTGGAAGATGTAAATTTAGTCTTGTGCACGGCGCCAGTGCTTGTCAGCAAAGTCCTTGCAGCTTGGGGACAAAGGTTGCTGAAACGCACAAGCCACCAGAATCCGGAAACAGCTGCAAGGCATGCAGTCCGAGAGAGGCTGAAAGTCCTGTGGGCTTTGAAGTGCTTTATATGGCTCCAGATTACTAGAGCAAAGACTCGCAGTACAGTTTTACACCAGCTGCGTAAGAGTAGCAGCTTTATGATACACCTGGCTTAATGCTTTGCTGTGACTGAATTGTGCTCTTTGCTGCCAAGATAAAACCCCAGATTATAACTTAGCAGTGTGAAGATAAAATGCCTTGTCCTTGCTGGTAGGTGGGGGTTCTCCACCAACCTCGTAATTTGAAGGGGGAAATGTGACCATCAACCTGCTCTACTGTGTGGGAGTGTATTATATTTTCAGTGTCTCATCTGTCAGGCGCTAACCTCTATTACACGTGGGTGCAGCTGACATTTCTGAAAACGTCAAGTAACTAAATGTTCTGATAATTGTTTACCAAACTTCATGTGGACAAAGCCAGCTGATGTCTTCACCTTGCTCCCTCAATAATAATCCCTTTGCAAATGAGAAATAAAACCCCTGGTCCCTGAAGATCCCTTGTGAGGGGTGCTGGCGCTGTTGCAATAGGAAGGCTGTTTGCACTGGTTCTGTGATGTGGCCCGTTTTGCCCCACACTGACAGATTGTGTTGGTGGGACAGTGCAGGAGACACCAAATCCTTGCTACATTGTGGAGGCACCAGATGGAGATAGGCATCAGCTGGGGTTTGGTTTGGAGAGGGTATCGTCTCAGTGCTGGAGAGAGGTCTCTGGTGTCTTCCGCAGTGCTGCATCATGCAGCACTGTCTTGGGTCACACAGACAGAAAACATCTGAGGTTTGGGATTGTGCAGGAGAACCAGTGCCAGATGATTGTGGGGAAGGGCTCTTGTGCTCACTTGCAGCCGGGGAGGGTGCTGGAGCACTCAGGGTGGAACACCTCCCAGCAGTGTGGGCTGACGGCAGGTCCGGCAGATAGGGAGCAGGAAAGAGGAAGCATGCAATGCGGCCTTGCTGCAGGGCAGCATGGTGGAGGCTGCTGGATGCATCTTCTGCTCCGTGCTTCCGTCTCAGGCCTGTGTGAGGAAGTGCAGTACCGTTAAATGCAAACCATATAGGCCCTGGTATCTCCTGGCCAGCAGACTTGCTTGTGCAGACGTTGGTAAATGCCAGAAGCTGTGTCTTGCTGGGGGCTGTTCACTGACTTGTGATTCTGAGAGGGTTCCTTGAAGCTGCGGGGGTGAGCATCACTCATCTTGCCAGTGCCTCTTTACCGAAAAGGTTCGGTTATTATTGCTATTATTGTTGTGGTGGGTTTTATTATTATTTTATGTAAGGATGACCTTAGTGGTTCAAACTAACATTCATGTGGCCCAGCTCCTTTCAGCTCTGTGGATTTCTGAGCCAGTTCAAGTTTGTCTGTATTGTAATTCCCAGTTTACCTCTCATTCCTAGAGCTTGCCCAGTCTCCCTTTGAGTTTATGAAAACTGCCTGCACTCACAACATCCCTCAACAGGGAATTCCACAGGTCTGTTTCCCACTGCATGAAAAAAACCCCTCGTTTGGTTTGTTTTGAATCTGTTTCCCGACTTCATTTGGTGGCCCCTAGCTCTGGTGCTGGAAGTGGCCGTGAACAATCAGCCTCTGTCTGCCTCTCCAGAGAAACCCTGCAGGCACGTCAGTGAGGTTGTGGGACTTAGCCAGCCACAGCCAGAGCTGATGGGACCTACTGTTGGCTGTAGTCCTGCTCTGAGCCGGAGGCTGGACTAGGGTCCTCCAGACACTGCCTCGCACCAACACTTCAGTGATTTTAAGGCTTGCTTCACACGAACTGAGCAGAGAGCCCTTGGTTTGTGCTGCTTAATACCCAGCAGGCACCAAGAAGTGAAAATTCCCCAACTCATCGTTTCTCCCTTCCTTCAGCCAGTCCCCGTGCTGGGAGGTCTTAGGTCCACGCTCAGCAATTCTTCCAGACGCACATATCTGTGTGTAGTGAGCTGCCACTTCTCCAGTCACACCCCAAATAGTAACGGGCTCTCTTTCCCTGACAGCACCAAGATGGCTGTTCTCTCAAAGGAGTACGGCTACGTCATCCTGACGGGGGCTGCCAGCTTTGTCTTGGTCACACACCTCGCAGTGAAAGTGGCCAAGGCCCGCAAGAAGTACAATGTGGAGGTGAGTGCTCAGGCTGAAGGACGGGAAGGTCAGAGCCGGTCTGCAGGGGATGTTGCAGACGAGCTAGGTGACACCTTGCATATTTTTGGGTGACCTGCTGATACTTCCTACCCCACCACATGGATGCAGAAGGGATGGAGTTGCTA